TTTGACATACAAACCTAACATTAAAAGGTAAAGCATTTCAGTATAAAATAGCGCCATCTGTATACTTTTTATCTGTTGGTCAAATAAAATAATTTGTCCTTTTTGTGATGCATATACTTATTTGATTTATTCTTTTGTCGTCTATAATTGACAGTAAAATAGATTCGAAAAAATTTATCGGCTCTTATCAAATGAAAAATCATATTCACTAAAATATCGTCTGATTATTTTTAAGAATTATGACGTTTGCCTTTTATTTTAGATTGTGTATACATAATTTCAATCAACGAAATGGTATGTTTTACTAATGTTATCAGAATTTATTGATGAAAAAACATAGAATTAAATATTTTTTTGTTATTAATTAAGGCTCACAACAATACATCGATCTTATCTGATGTTAGTGTATGTCTTAGTGATGCTATGGATACTATGTTTAACAATAATCATAGTATTATGATACCAGAAAACAATCATAAGGACGTTGATATATCAAATGATGGTGGAGGATTATCAGCAGAAGCTTTAAAGTTAATGATGAATAAAAGAAAATTAAATTCTAATGGTCATATTATTGATGATCAACAATATGAAGAAAATGCAAAACGTTTGTGTTCAATGAATGGTCATAATCAACATGAGCAAAAAGCATAAATTAAAATTTATAAATATGTCAGATCAGTGCTGTATTCTCGCAATTAGCATATAGCTATCAATCGTTGTATATATATTGATAGTAATTGTTTTTTTCTGTCGAATTTATTTACATATTTCTAAAATAAAAAAAAAAAGTCTAAAAAATATTAGAATAATCAACTGTTAATGATTTACATTATGTTATTCTTGATACTCATGAAAATATGCTAGAAATATTTGAGTACAATCTTTATTAGGGAATGTTTGTAATTGTGTATATATAAATATTTGCTGATGATGTACTAATGACTATGAACATTTTTGCAGTAATATATGATAATTTCATAATCAGCTCATATAGTATAAACTGTAAGTCATTTGAGAAAATATAATATTTTCTCTATATGTACTACTAGGTACAGCTTTGTCGACGGAAGATTGATTGAGTTTATAATTCTTTTATTTATGTAGTTTATCGTACGGATAATTTGAGATATATAGTCTTTTGTAATTTATCTACAACTATTCTATGTCTTCTAGTATCGAAATTCGAACACAATTCATTACTTATATCATTTATCAATGAAGCTTTATTTCCTGACAAAATGTCTTCTCTCGTCTAGCATATGACTATGACAGATACGATTTTTCAGTTAATTATGGAAATATATTACTAAAAATATGCGTTCTTTACAAATAGGTGTCACGATTAGGAATTGGCGATACCACAACGGAATCGGCACGTCTGATTCTGATTGCGATCTCCAGATACAAAAATTTTGGTATCGCTAATATCTTCAGTTTTATCGAAAACTCAATAACCACATAGTTATCATAGTAAAACGGAGTTGAATGATTTCTATACGATACTAAAAATAAATAGAACTCTTAACAATCCGGATCCGAGCCCAAAAAAACCTGATTTTGCTCGTGCCAAGTTACGATCATAGTAATTATATTTGTTGATTCATAATTCTAACTGCAATTAATATCGACTGTTGAATAATAAGAATATGAGTTCTATATTTTTATTACAATTAAGAAAAATATATGTATACATATTGTCAAGATAAAAAATAAAATTATATTTCACAGCAAACAATTTTTGTTAAATACTTGTCATTGTCGTTATTCGTCCTGCCATCTCCATATTATTATAATTTGAATTAATTGGTGGTGTTACTGAAAATGGATTTGTTGATTTTTTAATAACTGTATTCATTGGATTTTTTTGAAATAATGATAATAAATCCACTGGTAATGGAAAAATAATTGTTGAATTTTGTTCTGTTGCTATATGACTTAATGTTTGTAGATAACGTAGTTGCATAGCACACGGTGATTGAGAAAGAATATCTGCTGCGTCTTTTAATGCACGTGATGCTTTAAATTCACCTTCACTTGCAATAATCTAAAGAAAATATATTTGTTTTTGGAAATAAAATCATTCTATTAATTACTTTTGCTCTTGCTTCTCGTGATGCTTCAGCTTCAGCAGCCATAATACGTTGAAGACTTTTCGGTAAACGAACATCTTTAATTTCAACTCTTTCAACTCGTATTCCCCATTTATCTGTCGCATCATCTAAACATTCACGCATTAAATTTGATACTGCACCACGATCACATAATACTTCCGATAATAAACGTGTACCAAGAACATTTCGTAATGATGTTTGTGCTAAAAGATGTGTAGCTTCTTGAGCATTTTCAACATTAGAAATCGATATAGTTGGATTGTAAACACGATAATAAACTACAGCATCAACAGCAACTGTTACACTATCACGTGTTAATACTTCTTGTGGTGGAACATCAAATGAAACTGTACGAATATCAACAAGTTCTAATGTATCAATGCACGGTAAAATAAAACACATACCAGGACCACGTGCTAATGTACTACTTAAACGTCCTAAACGGAATATAACTGCACGTTCATATTCTTGAACAATTCGTAATGTAATAAATACAGAAAATGGGAAAAATAAAACCAGAAGACACCATGAACATACAATTAATGTTTTTTCACATAAAGTATGTTTTATATCAAATATTTCTTCACCAATTACATATGGTACATCATATTTATCCCATAAACGACGAAGATTTGGTCGTGATTGTTTTATAGTTGTTTCATCACGTCGACGATTATCATCAAAGATTGCCGCAAGAGATGATTTACGACGATCAGCAGCAGCACGTGATGATGATGATGATGATATTGGATGTGAAGACATTAGTGGTGCAGTAAATGGTTGTTGTTCATCATTGTCATTGAAAGATGTTATATCAGTTGCTGACTCTCGTCGCGAAGGACTCATTTATTAATAGACAAAAAAATCTAATAAAAGAAAAAAACGGTATATATATGAACGAAATAATCTACGTAGTATAAAAAAGCTTTCAATGCAATAAGAAATACAATAAAAATAATTGTATTCTAAATGAAAAGCTTTTAACAACATCTTTAATGTATTTACATATGTAAAATTATAACAGAAATCATTCTCTACTATATAGACAAGGAAATAAGAATAGTAATGCATTTCGTCTATTACGATAAAGAACGGAAAGAAAAAACACTTCTCTATACTAGGTTAAATATATTAAGTAATTGATATATCTTCGTAGAAGAATTATAGCTATGAAATCAGTTATATAAAACATCCATTGGATGTATCATAAAAAATCTAATAAATATTTTTATTATTAAAAAACTGAAAAAAGTTTATAACTATATACGATCAACAATTCTTTATTATATGAGCAATCATAATAATGATAAATTTTTTTTATTAATACTCACCTGTATGTTATGTCTAACACATTTGGCGTTACAATGTATGATAGAATGTTCTCATAGAACAACTATTTTCTTCACTTCTGTCAACCGGAACTCGAACAGATGTAGTTATTTGATTAAGATCATGATTGATTGATAGATACATCTATTCTTTTTCTCTTTCTTTCTGGTGAGCCGAATAAACAAGCAAAATCACGGTCACTTAGAATTTGTAATCTCTTACTACTATATTTGCTTCTTTTCCTTCATAGCGATCAATGATTAGTATACGAACAACGAGGTAGATAACAAAGATAATTAGCCAAAGTTAATAGAAATAAAACCTTCATCTTGATCATTGCTATATATGTATGTCAGAGATATTCTTTCTGTTCTTTGAAAAAAAAAGAGTTAATCAATGTAATTAACTTAAAATTAGCTTTATCGAAGAATACTCGAACGAAAAACTAGATAATTGATATAATTCATAGATAGTTATATTTATGTGTTAACAATAATAAACATATTGACAAGCGTATCAAACAATACAACACAATATTATCTTTGGTGTATTGCGTTGTTTATAAATTAGTACTATTATTATAGGTTATTTTAATCGAAGGGAAATATTTTGTTATTTTAAAATTCTATTGAACTTATATTGCTGAGAACTATGTTTAATTGTTTTATTATGAATATTCATTAGTATGACTCGTTTTATATCTGTCAACATCGTTCCATTTTTTTTTCATTTGCAACCTTGGGTGTTTTCCAGATGAGAATGTCCATCATCAAATTTGCTTATCCATTTATCAGTATGAAAAAAAGATCATATGAATTTATATCTTCGATAGAATTTTGAGATAGACATCTATAAAATTTCTAATTGGTTAAATATTTTTCACCAATTCTATTCCTGTAATTTCATATAAAAATTTTCATTTTTGAAATAGACAAAGAACAAGTGATGTCGACATCGTTGGAACCTTTTGATAATTTTAAAACGACTTTTCATAAAACATTTTCTCATCAACCTTGTCTTGTTATTGAAGTAGTACAATCAAATTTACCACCATCACCATGGTCTGGAAATAATAATAATAATACACAAATTTGTTGTCAACCATATTTTGATCCGAGTAAAAATGGTGGTGGTTATGAAATAGCTTTTTATGATAATGGTTATGCGTATTATGAAGCATTAGAAGGTGATCGTTTTCGAAAACGTCTTGAACGTTATAATCCACAAATGGAATTTCAAGATTTTAAAAAAGTTTTAGAAAAAATGAAACAAATATTCGAAGAATCATCAACAAATAAAAATGATAATCAAATTATTGTACAATTGCTCAATGATGATGTATTAATTGTTGAAATCAAAGGTAAATTAAATTTTAAAGATTTATGTATTTCAGATTCGAAATCTTAATGTTTTAGGTCGTATTAAATCATCAATTCCTTTTACTTATATGTTTCAATGTCAACGACGTGAAGGCGAATTTTATGAAGCAAATTATGTTCGTCAAATTGTTTATGGTCTAGCTGAACGTAAAAGTCGTGAACTTGAATTAATTAAACTTATTCAAGCTAAAGACAAAGAACTTGATGATTATCGTTCTCAAGGTATATGTCAATTACAACGTTCATGGCTTGCAACACAACCATTTGATAAAGAAGATTTTGATAAATCAACATCTCGACAAGTTCAACAACGACATGATGATGTTTTAATGCATACACTTGATTTAGCATTTGATCGTGAAGGACAACAATTAATTGAAGAATGTCTATTAAGAAATGAATATCGAAAACGAGCATATCCATCTCAAGATAATACTAGTTCAACAAAAAAGAATCTTTCATCACAAAAATCGACACCACATAAACAACAATCAACTTTAAGTCAACCATTAACTGAAGAACAAATTGATGCTGAACGACGTCGACATAAAGAACTTGAAGAACGACTTCGATCAGAAAGAGAACGTGATGAACAAATAGCAAGAAAGAAAAAGAAAAAATTCGTTTAAAATATTTTATTAATCTAATATTTAACTTTATGTATAAATTTACATATATTGTTATTTTTCTAAATGAACATATTAATATTTTCTTAGTAATAAAACGTGATTAAATGCTTTGAATATGACCATAATAAGAAAAATCGTATTTACATGGGTAAACATGTAGTATTGTTTCATTTATTGTGATGATAAAATTAAACCATTTTTAATCGATTGAATTATTGTATTTCTATAGGATATAGAGAATACTTATAAATTGATATATATGTAAAATTGAGATTGGTCTCTCGATACTTCAAATCTTTTATTCAATTATAATTGTGTTTAAAAATATTCGAAGTGGAATTTTTCTGTATCATTGATTCTATGACAACATTGTGTTAAAAAATAATTCGAATTTCTTATGCAAGATTTATTAGAGTCTGTCTAGCAGTGGCGGATTTAGGGGGCGGGGCGATGGGGATGATCGCTCCCCCCCCCCCCTTCCGAATTTTCTTTTGTTTTTTTACAGCAAAAATGAACGAAAAAATAGGTTCACACTACTTCGATTGGACTCCAAAAATAGCTTTTAACCAAAATCCTAGATCCGCCACTGCTGTCTAGCTAAGCCTTTTCATCCTTATTCTTAAGGTTATAACTGTAGAAATTAGTAAACTTAGGGATAATGAGCTACAAAATATTCTGAGCTTTTATTCATGTATCACTGGTCCTAAAAATGTAATCGTATTCCAATAGATCTAAAGAATAGTGACATAAAGTCATCTATATAGTTTATCAAAAGCTTTGTAATTTGCTAATTGTGCATTAATTTCAATCACGACTATCTCAAACATATTTTGGTGTGTAATATCGAATTGTAACTAATTTTCTAAACTTGAATATGTGAAGTTTATATTCAATTCTAATAGAAGAAAAAGATCTAGTGTAAACAGACCATTGATAAATTATAATAATTGGTATACCTGCATTCTATCAATATGCGTATATGAGAGATCATACTAGATATTTAACGATAGTAAAGAAAAGAATGAATGACTATGTCCGTATATTATTAATGAAGAAAAAATGCATCACAAAACGAAGCTCGAGGGAAAGAAAGAAAGAAAAAACACGCAAACGATGACGACATGAGAAAAAACGATTACGAAAAATGAAAGAGAGAGAGGGAGAAAAAGAAATGATACTGATGAATGAACAAGGCAATAATACACCGTATCGTTGTTTTACCAATAACTTTCAATACATGTATTTATTTATATTACTAGTATGTTCCGAAATTTTAACGTCTATTGAAAATATTCAAATTATTATTCGATGCGAAAATCACTGAAATGTGTATCCATCTATTTTCT